CCGCTCCAGCTCTCCCGGAGCCCCTCCAGGCCCTGCAAGGGGCTCCCGGGATTCTCCTCAGCAGGTGAGCACCCCCAGACCCGGCCCGGCCGCTCTGCGGGACTCACCATGGGCTGGCCCCATGCCGGCTCTGACGTCACCATTGCGCGACAGCTCCCGCTGACGTCATCATTGAGGGTGAGCCGCCGGGACTCCCCGCTCATCGTCTCCCCGCCTGATGACGTCACCCGTCCACCGCCTCTCACCGTGACGCCATCGCTCCGCGCCGCCGGGCCGGGCCTGGCCTGGCGCCGGTGCCGGGTCGGGGGCTGGCGTCGGCGTCGGCGTCGGTGCCGGGCCGGGCCGGGGGCTTGTGCCGGTGGCAGGCCGGGCCGGGCCGGGGACTTGTGCCGGTGCCGGTGCCGGGCCGGGCTGGGCTGGGCTGGGGACTTGTGCCGGTGTCGGTGCCGAGCCGAGCCGGTGCCGGGTCAAGGGCCGGCGTCGGTGTCGTTGCCGGGCTGGGGACTGGTACCGGTGCCGTAACCGTAGCGCCGGACGATGCTGTTCTCCCTGCGCGAGCTCGTGCAGTGGCTCGGCTTCGCCACCTTCGAGATCTTCCTGCACGGGCTGGCCCTGCTCGCCTTCTCCGTGCTGCTCGTGCTCAAGGTGGACGGCGCGGCCGCCGCGCTCTCCTGGTGGATCGTGTTCGTGCCCTTCTTCGCCGCCGACGGGCTCAGCACCTACTTCACCACCATCGTGTCCGTGCGGCTGTTCCAGGACGGGGAGAAGCGCCTGGCGGTGCTGCGGCTCTTCTGGATCCTCACCATCCTCAGCCTCAAGTTCGTGTTCGAGATGCTGCTGTGCCAGAAGCTGGTGGAGCACACGCGGGAGCTCTGGTACGGGCTCATCATGTCGCCCGTCTTCATCCTGCTCCAGCTGCTCATGATCCGGGCCTGCCGCGTGAACTGAGCCCGGCCCGGGGGACGGGCCCGGAGCCACTCCCCTCGCTGTCCCCTGCGGAGGGAGGGGAAGGTGACAGGCCGGGACAGGGCAGCGCCCCGCTCGCGGCCGTGTTGCGGAGCAGAGCCTCACGTTTCTCCAAAAGCTGCACATCCCTGTTTGTGCCCCCTCAGCCCCTGCCTTGTCCTGTCCCGCGAGCGCGGCCGGGCGTGACAGTTATTTTATTTTAGAATAAAAATGCGTTGAAGGATTGCGTTTATTTATAAATTATTTTTTCCTGGAAAGCTGTTGTACTCAAACTGCTGCCTGGAGGGTGGCTGGTTGCTGTAGATGTCCCAGTACAGCCCATACTTCTGCCCTGCCCTGCCTGGCAGCTGGCTCATGGATTTCCATCTGTCCCTCACCTCCCTGAGCACTTCCTACCTTCAGTGCCCTGACAGGGTTTTGTGAGGTCATGTTGAGGTCACTGGTGTATGTATTTTTGAACAGGAATATGATTTTTCCTCTTTGTGTTTCACTCCATTTCCTAAACATGGAAATGGGGGTGTGAGGAGGCAGGAGCGTGCACGGCTGCTGCTGGTTCTGAAGGGGGGTCTCACTGCGCCCCAGCCTCGGGCTGCAACATGCCCCCAGAGAACAGGAGGAATTCAGTATTCCCTGTAGGAGTGCAGAGCAGTGTGTGTAGGGCCAGTGTCACGGGGATGCCCAGGGTGGCATTGTTGGGGTGTCTGTGGAGGGCCAGGGGCTGCACTGGATGATTTCCATGGGTCCCTCCAGCTCAGGAGGTTCTGTGATTCTTGCACACCCTGAGGTGGCACTGGACCTGCCTCACAGGTGCTCTTTAGCTCCTGTTTCCCCTTGGGATGCAGTCTCCCAGGGCTTGCTGTCACCTGCCCCAGGTGCTCAGGTTATTCCCCTTGGAGCCTCTCTCTGGCTCCCCTGAGCCAAGGACATGTCACCTGGGAGGAGGCAGCCACCTGCTGCTCGTCACCCGCGGCTCACAGCAGTGTGAGCTCATCCTCCTCTTGCTGTGGTTGTGCCACACGCCCCCATCACCCCGAGTGCACAGGCCAGGGCTGTTCTGTCACCTGCTGTCCCAGGAAGGGTGTCAGCAGCAGCCACAGGGTCACTGTGTGGGGCTGGGAGGGGGCTGTGGGTGGGAGCTGTGTGGGGACAGTGGCTGCTGCAGCGCTGGGGGACTGGAGCCGCAGCAGGTGAGGGACAGGAGAGGAGCAGGACAGACAGCAAAGCCTCTGAGTCAGGAGGGGACACTCACAGAATGGCCCTGGGACCGATGGTGCCTTTGGACACTCCCACAGCTGCCAACAACCAGCTAATTAATAAACTCAGGAAGGGGCTCATCAGCCCCAAGGAAGATCAAACAGATGATCACATCCCTCAGCCTCGCTGCACAGCACGGAGCCCTTTGCTGCTGCCCAGCCCTGCTGCGGCTGCCTGCACCCTGCATCCCAAACCAGCACCAGCCCTGTCACTGGGGTGCTGTCCCACACAGGGGGTCGTCTCCCCGTGTGCCACATCCCCGTGTGCCACCTGCCTCACCTGCAAGTGGCTCTGCCAGTGCTTTGCTGCTGCCTTGGGGACAAGCCACTGGTCAGCGTGTCCCAGCTCTGCTCCTCCAAGGTAAGGCAGCTTCCCTGTCGCGTTGGGGACACAGGGGTGACCCTGGTGGGGGTGCTGGGGTGGGGGGGTGGTCTGGCAGCCAGGACCACCCCGTGTCCCTTCCCAGAACTCGTGCTTGGTGCAGAGGAATCACCTGCTGTGCCCAGGGCCACCAAATCCTGGAACAAACCTTGTTGTGGCATTTACCCTGGCACTCAGCAGTGCAGTGCTGGCACACCAGCCTGTGGCCACACAGAATTCTTTCTGGGAGCACCCCCCCATGGAGAAATCCTGCTGGAGCCTCCCCCTCTGACACCCATTCCCTGCCAGTGTGAGATCAAGGTGTCTGGCCTGGCCTGGAGACTCCTCAAGTCCCAGCCAGAACTCTTCCCCACGCTGCAGTACACCTGCAAAGATGAAAATGTCACCTCTGGGTTCATTTTTGCTGCTGTGGCTGGTGGGTCCTTTCCCAAACCCATCAGCAGGGAGTCCCTGCTGGTCTGGCCCTGTGGATACCCTGGGAGAGAGGTGCAGCTTCCCAGGGCTGCTGCTGCAGATCCCAGCCCCGAGCCCCTCTGTACCCTGGGCTGGTGGGGAAGGAGCCTCTGCACAGCCCAGCCCCAGTGCCAAAGCAGCATTCCTGTGGCACAGGGCAGTACCAGCCCCAGCTGCCACCCTTCTCCATGTGTCCCAGCTGCTGCAGGGACTGGAGCAGCTCCTGGAGAGCCACCTGAAATTGGGGACAGCACACTGCAGGAGAGCAGCCAGTGCTGCCATGTCCATGCACACAGCACAGCCTGGCACAGCTCAGACGGGCTCCATGCACCAGGAGGACAGGGCTCCAGCATGGCCTGGGCCTCCAGGGGGGCAAGGAGGCTCCCAAAACACATCAGGCAATGGGTGGCACAAGGGACCTCCATCCCTCCCTGCAACTTGCCATGGGCAGCACCTGAGCAGAAGGAAGCTCCAAATGGCCCAAACTCCACCAGCCCTGCTGGAATCAGAGTGGAAGGGAGGGCTGGAGCTGGTGTCTGCTGGGACAAGTCACAGCAAGACCCAGGGAATGCCTGGCAAAGGAACACGGGGGAAGTGGAGCAGCTCCCCTGGGGACATGGGACATGCTCAGAGCCACCACCTGCACCTCCCATCCCGGGACTGGAGTGACCTCATGGAGCAGAAACTGAGTTCTGGGAAATGAGAGTCCCTTTTTTAACCCTGAGTCAGGGTGCTTTCCTTTCAGAAGGCACCAGGAAGGTGTTGGCAGTGGAGGTGATGTCATTTCACAAACACCCGTCAGCCTGGCAGTGATGGCTGGGCTAGAGCCCCACCGAGTCCCCACACCAGCCTGGCAACTCCCTGCTGGGTGCCAGAGCCACTGCAAGGGCCACAGGCAAATAAACACATGCCAAAGGCAGATCAAACAGGGGTGTGTGTGTACTCTAGCCTCGCTTCCCCACAGCAGGTTCGTCTGTCAGAAGTCAGAACGAGACACTTGGTCCCTTTCTCAATTAGGAGTAAATAGCACATTTCACTCTCAGCAGAGCACAGCCCTGAAGCCAAACAGGGCTGGGGCTGATGTGCCCAAGGACCCAAGGAAGCCAGGTGAGAGCAGCTGCTCCTGGGGGCCAGGCACCCCATGGCCCTTCCAGGTCCTGGGATGTTCAGATACCACAGACCCCTGAGACCCCAAATTTAGAGAGACAGCCCTTTGGGCGGGACTGTCTGAAGAAAATTGAGGGCTGGATGTAGCACAGAGCCAGGTGTTGCTGGGGCCTTGCTGGGGAGAGTCAGGGGCAGTGAGGGCTGCCCTGCACAGCATTTCCTTCCCAGCATTACCCTGTTTGACTCAGCTGAGATAAGGCAGCTGGAACTGTGTCCTTCCACACAGATCCCTGTGATCCTGTGGTTCACAGCCAGGGCAGTATCACCTGGCAGAGCTGCAGAGCTGCACATGGGGCCAGCATGGGCAAGGGGGAATAGCCACTCAACAAAACCTCTGGGACTGTTTCTTTACTACAAAAAGGGACAGGAAAAGTGAAGAGCTGCTCATCCTGTGTTAGGGTTTGGAGCTGGAGTTTTTGGTCAGTTCTGGGTGCACACAGCCACTGGCAGTGCCACATGTCCCCAAGGGACCAGGGCTGGTTGGTGCCTCTCTGTCCTAGGTTGGGACGAGACCCCTGTGCTCAGAACAGCCCTGTGCAGTCAGCAGGGATTTCCAGAGCAGGGACACTCATCCACCCCTCCCACTGAATCCAGGTGAATCCAAAGGTTGTGTGTTGTGTGGAGGTGGGAATGCAGGAGTGGTGGCACCCTCTGGGCTTCAGGAGCCACCCCAAAGGACACTGCCATGGGAATGTTGAAGTGCCATGAGCCTACAGACACTGTACTGACATGCCATCATATTACAAAATGAAAGAGTTTGTGTTTATTTTGTTCTTTCAGGTAAGAGTTAACTATGTTTTTCCAAAAATAGGGTGAGACTTACGGTAAATGCACTATGGACATTTCCCTAAGTGTCAGAGAGGGGATTTATTGGAATGAAGTACCACGAGAAGGTTAAAAATTCACTGCAGTACAAGACAAACAAAAGAACTTATGAAAGACTTGAGAATAACCAATCCTGCAGTACATGAGAGCCATGACCCGAGAAGTGAAGAGCAGGAGGACACTATAAATCAAATTACAAAGCCAAAGAACAACTTTGTGTGCTTCCAGTGCTCATTAGCATAGTAAAATCCCTGCCCACAGGCTGTGATCACCCTTTACTCACATAAGCCTCTTCCCCACAGAGCAGGAGCAGTAAATGAAACGTGCAGGGTCTCTTTAAATGAGGCTGCAAAGCCAATGGCTGTACTAGCTGTGGTTAGCTGTAAGGAAATGCTGATTTCTGTTGCTTCCAATGTGTAAAAATGGGACCTGGCATGCTGAGAGTGTGTCAGCTTTGATTCACTACCCAGCACCCATCTCTGCCTACATGCGAAATAACATCGTTACCTCGACTCAGAGGGTGAATCTGCTTCTTGCCCACGGGGTGGAAGATCCCAGATTAGGGATTGCAGGAAGAGGGAGCGGCCGGAGCTGTGAGGAGCCCCTGCTGTCCCGGCATGGTGACACGGTGGCACTGCCAGCTCACACAGCAGCTCCTCTGCACCCCCGCCAAGGCGCTGGGCAGGGGCAGGGCACGGAGAGCTCCCCAGCAGAGCATTTCCCTGCCGGCAGTGCCCCGTCGGGCTGAGCTGAGGCAGCCGGAGCCGGCTCCGGCCGTGCGGATCCCGCCTCGGCCCGGCGGGCTCTTATCAGGGCCTGCAGCAGCAGGAAGCAGCTCGGCCGCAGGCCCAGCGAGAGCAGATCCTGCTCCCCAGCCCTTCCGCTCCCGGCGAAGTCCTGAGTCCTCCCCAGTCCCTCGCCTCTCCTCGGGGTCTGCAGGGACCCCAGGAGCGGCACAAAGCTCACCAGGGAAGGGGTGAGCACAGTCCCAGCGGGGCCGTGGCGGTGCCTTGGCCTCTCCCAAGGCAAAGCCCAGCCAGCGCAGCTGAGACCCTGGCAGGGCGATCCTCCCCTCTGATGTGAGCTGCCACCTCACTGCAGTAAAATTTATTATCAGGTACCCAGCACTCTGTTAGATTGCAGGGCAGTGGATATTGCAAATATCACTCTCACCTCTTATAGACCTTGGAGAGAGCTTATAATGGGAATGTGAAGGCTGGGGAGAGCAATGAGAAAACAGATATTTCTGTGACAGCTCGGAGAAGCAGAGGGACAAGGGTTAAATCCAGTGATGTGTCCTTCCTACGATTCAGATGAGGAGGAGGAGGAACTAATTGGCTGAAGATAAGGGCAGTGCCAAACTGGGCCATGAATATACACCTGCAAGACAAACAGGAGAGCAGATATTCAAGAGTTTCACCTAAGGCTGATGAGCCCTCAGGGAAGATAATGGGGGAAAAATTTTCCAGCAGTATCCAGTTCCAGAGGACATAAAAGGCAAGTCCAAGCTGGGTTTGCTGCACTGGAGGAGCACAGAGGGACCCCGAGGGACCCCCCCGGGGCACAGCCTGGTGAGCTGGGGCAGGGCTTCAGGAGTGCAGGCAGGTGAGCTGCCCTTCCCAGCCCGTGAAACACACCCTCCCTGCCCTGCCGCAGTGCCTCAGTGAGGGCTCTGCAGCTCCCTGTGCTTTCCTCTGCTGCGTACAGGGTTCCTCTCACCCCTCCCAGACTCAGGTGTGGGAGCTGGGAGATTGTTGTGATCCCATCATGGCTCTGCCAGGCTGGGGGCAACCAGCCCCTCTTTCCCCCAGCTCCATGTATTTTATCTTAGTACTGCTTTTCCCAGGAAAAGTTCTGATTATCACCAGGGTTTCTGAGTGGCATGGCCTGAGACAGGGTCAGCTTGCGGGGCGGGTCTCCTTGCAGCTCTCACTGACACCTTTGCTCCCGGGTGTCCAGCCACACTTCTCCTGTGTTTGGGCTTTCAGGAGCCTTCCCCCCAATGCTGGCCAGGAAGAAATCCTTCACCAGTGCCATCGTCGGGGCGCTGGTGGCACTTTCCATCATTGCCCTGGTTCTCAGCCTAGTCAGGGTTGAAGATGTGATGCTGCCACCCACGGTCAAGGTGAGCCCAGAGAAGGTCCCTGAGCACCTGTGGTGAGCCCAGTCACCTTGGGCAGGTTCTCCGAGCCAGCAGCTGGTCCGTGGGGCTGGGAGGGGCAGTGGGGTCAGGACCTGCCTGGCAGTAGCAGGGTGGGTGTCATGTCCCCACTTTGAGGTGCAGGCAGAAGAAAGTCAGAGGGGAAGGCTCCTCTGGAACTTATCCCCACTGTGCTGTGCCAGGTTTGGAGATTACCTTGGGGCAGCTGCTCCCTGTGCTCTGCCAAGCACCTTGGTGAGCCCTTTGTTCCTGCCAGCTGCCCCCAGTCCATCCCTACCCTCACATCATGGCACAAACATCCTGCCCTGCCCCATCGTGCCCTGGGCACGGCATCCCACCCTGCTGGGGAGGGCTGGCAGGGCTTTGGCTGGGGGGGAAGGCTTTATGGGGCAGAGGCAGCTGGCTGAGTGCTCCTGGACAGGCCCTGCCAACCCTGCTCAGGCTAGGTGCTGCCATGGGGTAGCAGGGACCACAAGAGATGGGAGAGTTGCTGGCCCCAAGGTGGGGCCAGTGTAGACACAAAAAGTATGTGACCATGAAAGAAAATAAAACAGCATGAGGAAACAACAGGAAATGTTTGTGTGAGTTGGCATTGCAGCACAGACCTCAGGAGAGGGAATGACAGTCCCTTAGTCACTGTGGGGGCAGAGCCCACAGCTCTGCTCTGCCATGGCACAGCTGATGGGTTTTGTGCCTCAGACATGGGTTTGGGGGAGTCTTCTGGCCCCACTGCCCTGGCAGGGCCACAATGGGGACAGGGCCAGGCTGCTGCTCCTCCACCTTGATTCTGTGTTGATTTCCCTTGCAGTATGGGATGGTGTTTGATGCGGGCTCATCCCACACCTCTCTGTTTGTCTACGAGTGGGATTCAGACAAGGAGAACGACACTGGAGTGGTCAGCCAGACCTTGTCCTGTGATGTGCAGGGTCAGTATCCCCCTCCATGGGCTCTGTCCTGCCCTGTTCCAGTGGTGGCTGGGGTGACCTGGCTGGACAGTCCTGTCCTCTGCGGGCACAGGGGAGCTGTGGCTGTGTCTGGGGGGTCCCTGAGCCCTCAGCACCATGTGGTGCCCATGCACTGGGGGGGACTGGAGCACGTAGATGGTGAATCAGTTTTTGTTCCTCCACCTTGGAGTGCTCTCAGCTGCTGTCCTGGCTGGAGATGTCACCTATAGTGACATTGCTGAAAGCAAGGGAGACAAGGGAGAGGAACGGACGTGTGAGTCAGTCAGGTCTCAGGGGACCCTGGAAAAGCACCTTTGTTGCTAAGAGGTGACAGCCCTCACTGCCCTGTGCCCTCTTGTTCTCACAACCTTGACCCAAGCCATTCCCATCAGTCTGTCCCATTCTGACTCTTTTCAGGGCAAGGCATATCAAGCTATGCCAGCAACCCCCCTGAAGCTGGCAATTCCCTAAGGGAGTGCTTGGATAAAGCCCTGCAGGTTATTCCTGCTGAGAAGCAGAGGGATGTACCAGCTTATCTTGGAGCAACGGCTGGCATGAGGCTACTGAGGTACTGCTGGGGGCAGGGGGTGGCAGCAGTGACAGAGCTGCACACAGCCACTGTCAGGACAGTTCCTGCACAGGGCCAGGACCCCAGCTCCCACACTGCCATGAGCAAACAACTGGGCAGGGAGGAGAGGGGGAAAAGGCAGCTTGGTGGGGACACAGGGAGGGCTGAACTGTCCTGAGCAATGTCTGTTGGGACATCCCAGGATGTCCCAGTTCTAAGCAAGATATGTTTTTCACAGTTTTGTTTGCTCTTCATTATTCATTAATAACAAGGGGGGGTTGGAGTGCCAGCAGATGTGCCACCTGCCCAGGGAGATGGGTGCTGGTGGCGCAGAGGTAGGAGGCAACAAAGTGCTGCAGGTTCTGTCCTCACCTTTCACCAGCCCATGTTAGCTCTCTTCAAATGGCAGCCTTCATTTCATGGCTCTTGGTTTTATGGCTGCAGATAGATTACATTATTTCTGTGCCCTGGCAATCAGACCTGGCAAGGAGCGGGGCCATAGCCTGAAGGTTGCTCACTTCAGAGAGCAAGAACAGCCCTGAGACATCTTCCCCCCTGAGAGGGCTGAACCCAGCCTGGAACCTTCCTGAAAACCCCGGGGGTCAGCAACCAGCCCTGTCTTGGGCACAGTCAGGGCGTGATGTTCAAACCCGGGTCTTGCAGCACAACCCACTCCAGCCTCCAGCACTCAGGCAGGGAAGGGTGGCCTGGAAAGGCTCTGGGTGACTGGAATCAAGCTGCACTGCAGGGGAGGGGTTGCTGTTTCTCCTAGTATGGCAATGCCAAGCCGAGGCAGCTGGGATTCACCTCGGATGAGCAGCTCAGACAAGCCATGTGGCAGGAAACCCTTTCAGTCAGACTGCTTGTTGCACAAACTGGGAGTATGTGGAACTGGGAGAGAACCAGTTTGTGTTTCCTCTGTTGTAGTTGGGTATGTGTCCTGTCCTTTGCATCCTTCCTAGAGAACAGAACAGCTCAGCAACAGAGCAAGTCCTGGCTGAGGTTGCTAAAACCATGCAGGAGTACCCTGTGTCTTTCAAAGGAGCTCGGATCCTTACAGGAGAGGAAGAGGGGGCCTATGGCTGGATCACTATCAACTACCTGCTGGACTCCTTCACCAAGGTCGGAGAAGGGTGGAACACCCACTCCTTTGCTAATACAGCTTTTCAGATTTTCCTCAAGCTTTCTCAGCACAGGAGAGGTCACGGTTAGTGGCTTTTGGGAATGATCCAAGGGAAGGAGACATCCTCTGGTTTTCCTCCCACAGAGAGTGAGGAGGGAGAGCTCAGGAATGAGAGTGTCTGCTGAGAGCTCAGGGCAATCTCCACACCGAGTGGACAGAGGGTCTCTCAGGGACTGGGAGGTCAGTGCAGCACAGCTGGGCTCTGTGTCCCTGCCTGGGAAGCTCCATCTCCCTGCAGTGCTGGGAGACTCCAGCTGAAGGCAGCTCAGACCAAAGCTCTGTCCCAGCCCTGCCACAGCTCAGTGTGGTGCTGGCAGTGTCAGGCTCCTGTGGTGGCTGTTGGAGGATTCTTGGATAGAAATCCTTCCTCCTGCACCAGGACCCCTGCACAGCACCTACTGACCACTGAGAGTGTCAGCACCTACTGACCACTGAGAGTTCCATCTCTCCCATGGCTCTGATCAATATCCCAGCTGCCTGGGCAGGGAGGGTGGGGGGCTCACATGCAGAGGCCCATTGAATTTAATAACAAAATCTTGTTGTCTTCAATGGGATGAGAATTCTGCTCAGGGCATTCTGTGCTACTCCTCTTCCTCTCCTGGCTCTCATTGGCAGTACTCTCCCAAAGCGCACACGTGGCTTCATCCGGAGGCAGCCAGCATTTTTGGGGCACTGGATCTTGGAGGAGCATCCACTCAAATCACCTTTATGCCCAAAGGTTCGGTACTGAGCCAGAATGAAGCCTCTGAGTTCACCCTGTATGGGTACAGCTACAACATCTACACTCACAGCTACCTCTGCTACGGGCAGGACGAGATGCTGAAGCGGCTGGCGAAGGAATTAATTGTGGTGAGAGGTTACTGGGACCTGTAGTGTCATGATGCCAACCACACACCTGTTAATGCATAAAGTAAGGACAGGCAGGGCTCTTCTGGAGAGGCATCAGCAAAGACCGAGAGCAAGGACAGACTCCTTGGAGCATGGCAGGGCAAATGTGGAGAGGAGCACGGGTATAGTGGAATCCCAAACTGGTTTGGGTTGGAAGGGACTTTAAAGATCATCTTGGTCTGCCCCCTGCCATGGGCAGGAACACCTTCCACAATCCCAGGTTGCTCCAAGCCCCATCCAGCTTGGCCTTAGACAATTCCAGGGATAGGGAAAATGTCAAAAGGGGCAGTTTGGGATCTTCTAGCTTCACCTGGGGTGTGCAGAAGTGCAGGACCAGGCTCTTCTCAGAGGTGCAAAGTGCCAGGGCAAGAGGCAAAGGGCACAAGCTGGAACATCTGAGTTTCCAAACAGACAAAGGGGAAAAGTTTTCCTCAATAGGAATGATCAGATATTGGAATAAGACCCAGAAATGCTGTAGAGTCATCGTCTCTGGAGATTCTCAGAACTTGATGGGTCGAGGCTCTGAGCAGCCTGCTCTAGTTGGTCATGCCTTAACAAGAGGGTTGTCACAGGGAACCTACAGCTCCCCTGAACCTCAGCTACTCTGTGACTTCACAACCTGAGAAACATGAGCTGAAGACCTTTCTCAGGCCATTTTTTGGAAGGTCAGAGGTGAAGAGCCTCTTCATGGAGCTGCACCTCGCCTGCAGAGCAGCCTTGGTGAGCCAGAAGGGTTTGCCGTTGCTCTATGGCCAGGAAAGTCCCATATGGTGACCTTGGATAGAGTTGGAGCTAGAACCAGAGCTAGAGCTGGTTTTAGAGGTTTAAGGTGGTTTTAGTTTTAGCCTCTCTAAAGCTAGAGAGGGCTTTATATGTCCCCAAAAATGATCCTTCCGGCCAGGGCAATGACATGCTGGGTCCTTGAAACTGGTCTGCCTCTGTGGGAGAGGGAATGAGATAAAGCAGAGTGAGAATTAGTGCTGGACTCATGCTGGGACAGCCAGCAAGACCAGGACTGAAGGGCAGGAGGGTCTTTCCCTGCAGAGGAATTGGGAATGCCGGTGCCTGGACTTTGGGAGGATGCTGGTTGTGTCCACGAGGCTCCGGAGGAGCTGCAGCTGCATTTTGCTGTCCCCAGGAGTCGTCCCCCAGCACACGAGTCCACCACCCCTGCTACCCAAAGGGCTACAAGGAGACCGTGTCGCTGTCCTCCTTCCGCGCCAGCCCCTGCACGGACGGCAGCGACCCGCGCCTGCCCCTGGGCGACAGCACCGTCACCCTGGAGGGCAGGGGCAGCGCCGGCGCCTGCCTGGCAGCGCTCAGGAAGCTCTTCAACTTCTCGGCGTGCGGCCAGAGCCAGGAGTGCGCCTTTGACGGCGTCTCCCAGCCCCCGCTCCGGGGGCAGTTCATTGTAAGGCAAACCCGTCCTCCCACCTCGGAAAGGCGTCCCCGGTGCTGGGCTGTCCCCGCTGCCCCATGGCACTGTCACCTCCCTGCAGGGAACAGGGGCAAGAGGCTCCCCACGCACCACTGCCTGAGGGCACACTGGGGATTGCTGCTGGATGGTTTTCCAGCCAAACCTCCACACGGGACCATGCTGAGAATCACCGAATCCCAGAGTGGTTTGGGTTGGAAGGGACCTTCTAACTCATCTTGAGGCCCCCCCTGCCACGGGCAGGGACAGCTCCCACCATCCCAGGGTGCTCCAAGCCCTGTCCAACCTGGCCTTGGACACTGCTATGGATTTGCTAATAAAACAGGACTTGTCAATAGGAATTCAGACAGCAGCCTCAGGCAAGGCTCTGACTGTGCTGGCTGTGCTGCTGTCACCAGCAGGCACAAACCCCCAGCCCATCACCTGCTGGGACAGGGACAGGGAGAGCAATGCCCCGGGAGTACCTGGGCTGGGACAAACCCCGTGAAGAAAACCCCACCTCCTGCTTCAGGCAGCTGCCAGGGGTGCCCCACTGCAGCTCACCAGGGTTTCTGTCTCTCACCTTGCAGGCTTTCTCTGCCTTCTACTATAACTTCAAGTTCCTGAACCTGACGGAGGGGCAGCCGCTGGCCGTGGTCAGAGAGGCCATCGAGGGGCTCTGCACAAGGAGCTGGGAGGATGTACGTACCTCAGGATGGAGGCAGAGTGGAACATGCAGAAGCAAAGGGGTCCTGGGGTAGGGGGAGGGAGTGGGGACCCCTCCAGGTCAAGGCTCTCTGGTTCTGAGCTGTGTCCTACACAGCAGAGCCACTCCTGAGTTCTGTGTGGAGCTTGGGACTGTCCTGCATCCACTCCCTGCTCATTCATCTTTGGGAAAACAGCAGCTAGGGCAGGCAAGGGTAGCAAGCAACTGGGGTTAGAGGTGGGGATGGAGGTGGGGATGGGGATGCCAGGGAGGATGGTGATAGCAGAGCCAGCTGCTGGCACCATGCTGGAAACAAGTACAATCTTGGAATCATAGAATTCCAGACTGGTTTGGTTGGGAAGGCCCATCTTGTTCCACATCCCTGACATGGGCATGCACACCTTCCACTAGACCAGGTTGCTCTAAGTCCATCCAGTCTGGCCTTGAGCACTTCCAGGGATGGAGCAGCCACAGTTCCTCTGGGCAATACATGGGGGTGGATAAACCCAGAAATGTGCCAGCACTACCATGGGGCAGAGAGCAGGAGCCCATTGCATGAAGAGGCTGAGATGGAGAATCTGGGGCAGGAGGAGCTACAATAAGCTACAATATGTGCTCTGTTTCCATGTGGAGTGTAAATCCTCCCCAAAGGAGCGGCCCTGCACAGACAGGTCCAAAATCACTGCTCGGCCCAGGAGTCTCTTCCTGGGTGCTAGTGACTGTGGAGCCACTGCCGCTCATGCAGCACATTTCAGGGCATTGTCTCTGCCCAGACAGTGCCTGTCAATAACTCCCCTTCATCCCCAAACATTCCCCACCCCAGCTGTCTTCCAGCTACCCCAAAGAGAATCCCAAGCGACTGCCAAAATACTGTGCCAACTCCAACTACATCCTCACACTCCTCCTCGATGCCTACAAGTTCAACGAGACCAGCTGGAACAACATCTTCTTCCAGATGAAGGTGAGCAGTGCTCCCAACCTGTGGGGGGGAGCAGAGGCGGTCCTGGGGGAGAACCAGCCCCATGTTGGGGTGCTGGGGGAGAACAAGCCAAATGTTGGGGTGCAGGGGAGAGCCAGACCCTGTGTGGGGGTGCTGGGGAGAGCCAGCTCCCACATTGGGGTGCTGAGGGGGAGCCACCCCTGTGCTGGGGCCCTGGGAGGGAGCCAGCCCCTGTGCTGGGGTCCTGGGAGGGAGCCAGCCCCTGTTTTGGGGTGCTGAGGGGGAGCCAGACCCTGTGTGTTAGTGCTGGGGAGAAACAGCCCCGTGCTGGGGAGCAATGGTGCAGAGAGCCCCACCTGCTCCCTGTGCTGGGGGCACTGCTGTGGGCTGAGCAGGAGGGGTGGGTGGCCCTGTGCCAGCAGTGGCTCTCCTGCAGGGCTAACCGTGTCCCCTCTCTCCGGGGCAGGCGGGGGGTGCCGATGTGGGCTGGACGCTGGGGTACATGCTGAACCTCACCAACATGGTCCCGGCCGAGGCTCCAGCCACGCTGAAGGGCCACAGGTCTTCCCTGTGGGCTGCAGCCATCACCTTCATCATCCTCACCCTCGTCTTGGGGCTTGCTGCCCTGCTCCTGCAGCTGTGGGTGTAGGAGCCTGGCCGTGTTTGGGAGCCCAGCAGGGACAGGCTGGGGCTGCAGGGCTGTGCTGGAGTCCCCATGCTCCTGCCTGTGGAACTGAGCCCAGGGCTGGGTCTATGCTGCTGAGCATAGTGACCTCTCCAGCTCCAGAGAACTGGGGTCTGCTTTTCCATGGGCCTGGCCCCCAACATGCAGACAGGCACTCTCTGAGGTTTCCAGAGGAGCTTCACTCCCATGGAGACACAATGGGGTCAGCCTGCAGAAGCCTCAGCCAAGCCTGTGTGCCTCCTGTCAGTGCTCTGCATGTTACAGACGTGGCTCCATCACACCAGCTGGCCCTGGGGCTCTGAGGGGCCAGCCTGGCCATGGGGCAGTGCCCCAGTGCCAGCCTGGTGGGGCATGGTGCAGGCACCTGGGGACAGGGTGCTCCATGGAATGCCAGCTCTGAGCATGGTCACCAAGAGCCAGGCGGGTCCCTGCCAGGTCTGCCAGCCTGAGGGATGCTCTGTGGGACCCCAGCTGGCCCTGTGGAGGGTCTGTGGCTGGGGCTTACGTGGAGATGGTCTTGGAGAAAGAACACTGAGCACCCACAGTCAGAAGTGTGGTCCATGCCCCTCCAGAGAGTCCATCTCATCACTGTTATGGCATGCCCCGTCATCTTATCATCACATCTCACCACCCTTCTCATCCTCTTCCTTTTCACCCGGAATAAAGGGATTGATGTTCCTCAGTGCCTTCCTGGAGACAGCACTGTCCCACCAGCAGAAGGCCTGGACCCCATGGGTGTCAGGATGAGGCTCCAGCAGGCTGTGAGTCCTGCCCTGCACGTGGCTGAGCTGGTCCTGCCCATGGTCTTTGCCTTTGGTTCTGCTCATTTTAGCTGCTCTGTGGATGATTCATGCTGCTGTTGCGTTCCCACAGTGAGGAGCACACCTTTGGTGTCACTGTGGAATGCTGGGCACCTCACCACTCTCATCACCAAAATAAACATTGTAAAAGGAAGCACGTGGGGAAATGCCTGCTACTCTGCTCCCAAATTGTTGTGACTTTATTACTTCTGTCTCCCAAGTAAGGACTGGTGATGACAGAGACTCAGGGGTGAGGCAATGAATCTATGGGAGGTGTCCCTGCAGACACTGAGGTGTCTGCTGGACCTCAGAGTGGAGCCAACAGGGCACAAGGACAGGCCTTTTCCTTCTCTGAGGAGGTGTCTCAACTCACCCATCACTTGGCTGCCAATAGGACTCTCAAAAAATGTATGGGGGGCCCTGGGAGTTGCCTCTGCCATGACCCAGCAGTGTTGCCAAGTCACCCTGTGTTGGAAAGGGAGGATGACCTGTCTGCCAGGCATGGGGCATGGGGTGCAGCTGGACTGGAGAGGAACCTCATGCAGGACAGGAGGGAGCTGTGCCATCCCCCCCTCACAGGGTTTCCCAGTCCTAGGCAGAGCCCTGTCTACCAGGCCAGCGCCCCAAACATCCCCAAAGCCACGGCCCCTGGGACTGGCACTGGCCATGGGATGGGGCAGGACGTGTGTGTCCCACCCAGGGTTTCTGCTGTGGGCTGTAACCAGCTCTGTGACAGTCCCACTGCTGCCAGACCCCCTCAGTCGGTGGTCCCCAGGCCCCAGTGCTGAGCCCCTGCCCCACATGGCCAAGCCCTCCCTCCTGGACTGCAGGGAAAGGAGAGCCAGAGAGCACACAGCTATGGGGAGGGTGTTTTACAGCTGTGCCAGTTCCAGCTCACCAGGCCAGGACTCAGGGCCCCCCAGGACAAGTCCGTGGCCCCTGGGCACACAGGGGTGATGCAGCTCCTTGCAGAGGTGTGGCAGCAGGACTTGTGGCCTGGCAGCCTCTGGAGGCAGCGCTGTTACAGCTGCTCATAGCCCGAGGAGTTTCTGTGGCAGCAAGTGGCTGTGAGCAGGCAGAAGGTGAGGATGAGCATGATGGCCAGCAGAACTGTGGCTGCTATCCAGATGCTTCTCGGGAGCTCTGTGACTGCTGTGGGAGGCTCCGAGGGGATCATGTTGGTGAGATTGAGCATGTAGCCCAGAGTCCAGCCCACCTCTACGTTAGCAACCTGTGCAGACAGACAGGGAAGAGGCATGGGAAAGGCTGCAAAGTACCAGGCAAACTAGAGAAGAGCCTGCACCCCCAGGTCCTGCTTCACAACCACCATTTCTGTGCCCACCTTGCAGAGGATCCAGCAGTGACATGAAGAGGGGGAGAGCACAAAGGGCCAGGGCAGATGTGACAACAGCTTGTGTGAGCTGCCCTGGGTATGGGCATGGGGTTGTGCTGCCCTGGTATCCCCCGTCCCCAGCAGCAGCAGGGTGGGCACAAGGCACTTCAGGGCACGAAGTGTGGAAGCTGGGGGCTGCTGGACACTCTCCTACCTGCCGGATGAAGTGGATGCTAGGCCATGTTGTGACGTTGAATTTGTAGCCTTGCAGAAGGAGGGTGAGGGTGTAGGAGCTGGCTGCGCAGGCATCACGGAGCTGGGTTCTGCTTGCCCTGGGGAACAACTCCTGCACCTGCAGAGGTGGGAGAACAGGGGGAGGCTGGACACAGAGCGGTGCTGGATGTGCCCACACTGGGAAACAGCCCCTCAGTACAGCTGGGAGCAAAGACTGGAAGAGCAAAGAGACCCCCGGGGGCTGCAGGCTGCTCGCCCATCTCTCTCCAGGTGCAGAGACCTTTGTGCTCCTCCTGGCTCTCTGCAGCTGAGCACAGCACAGGATGGGCTGTGGATGAGCCTTCAGGCTGCCCAGTGCAGGTGAAATGCTCTCCTGGACAGAATCTCACCTGTCTCCAGCTGCTGTTGCATATCTGCCTGATGGTGGCATTGACCATGCTCAGGGACTGCCCTCCTGTCAGGTTCAGAAAGTGAAGGCTGTGATAAAACCCCGAGAAGGCCTGTGGGTGTCAAGACCAAAGATGACAGGTTAGTGAAGCACTCAGGCCACTGATGCCCCCCACCCCTATGCAGAGGTCCCTGTAAGGGGGACCATCACTGCAGGTGCTGGCAGTGACCCTGGGGGAGGGAGCTTGGGAATGCTGTCCACACGGACAGGGAAGGGAATGATGCTGGGAGAGCAGAGCCCTGGGGCTGCCTGGCACACAGGTCAGCACCCTCAGTGTCTCCTGACATGTGTCAGGCACAACCCAGCTCCCAGGGCTGGCACTACACAGACATACCCCTAGAGCAGTGTTCCAGGGGTTCCGCCCCCAACTCCCATAGTCCCTGCCAGGCAAGGGGACGGAGGCTGCTTACGAAGAACTGTCCCCGCACGGGGGGCTGATAGACCCCATTGAACCCGCACGGCCCCCGCGCCCTGCAGCTGAAGTTGAAGAGTCTCCGGACGGCCGTGCCACACGCGGCTGGGTCCCCTGTCCCCGTCACCGTGAGGACAGGGCCAGGGCTGGCTGAGCTTGGCGCACGCACGCAGGGGCTGTCGTAGAGCTCTGCCACGGTGATGTTCTCCTGGTACCCCTGCGGGTAGCAGGGGTGAAGGATCTGGGCACTCGAGCTGGCCTGGAGAGAGACGGAGCCATTAATGGGGCTGCAATGCCACTGAGAGCCTTCCCACAGCCCATCCCAAAAAGCAGGACTACACCCCACGAGGACTGGATGTACCCCACCTGTGAGCTCCCTGAGCAGCCCTGGCTCCCACAGCACTGGGCTCTGCCTCTGTCCCTGGGCAGTTGTGCAGGGACTGTGCTGGGAAACCTCTCTCTGGGCAGAAATGGAGCAAGGTCAAGAGAATGGTGACAGCAGAAATACCACACATACACCTGGACTCGGGGAATTACAAAAAATGCCACTGCACGTCAAGATGTGGGGAGAAGGCAGCCCTGGCTGGCAACCACCACCACCACCTTCCACCCAAATGAGGCAATTTTTTGCTTCCCTAGATAAAACCCAAGCCTCTGCCAATTCCCAACTCTTTGCCCACAGGCACGCCCAACATGGCAGGGGGAGATGTGCCACGGCACTGGGAGGTGGCTGAGCAGCCCCCGTGCCCCGTGGCACCTGGTGCAGAGCTGCCAGCAGCATCTTCAGGGCCTGGCTCTGCCCGTAGCACAGGTAGCTGTGGCTGTACAGGGAGTAGTTGGTGCCGTAGAGCCGGAAGAACACGGACGTGTTCCTGTCCTCTATGGGGACCCCGGGCTGGAAGGTGATCTGCGTCGAGGCACCGCCAAGGTCCAGAGCTCCCAGAACCTCGGCGTCCTGGGGATGTTCCCACTTCTCTGCAAACGAGAACTGGCCCAACACGCAGCGAGGGTTAGGCTGAACTGCAGGCACTCCCACTCCCTTCCCGCAAGGAGTTTGGGGCCCCAGGGGCACCTTCCACGTGCTCCTGGCTCCCTGTTTTACCCCTGCCCAGCGCCACCCCGGAGGGACGGCACAGCAGGGGATGCGTCCCCCCATTCCCCAGGGAGCTCTGCTGGCCTGCTCAGACACACCCAGGTGTCCCACCCATAGCCCCAGCCTTGCTCGCTCTGGAGCTGCACAGATACTGAAATGCAAACTGCTGCCCCAGGAGCTGTCAGGCCCCACCTGAGTGGAGACAGGAGATTGCTCAGGGACTTGTGCAGAGCTTTGGGGAGGCCCTGTGGGCACCCGAAGCTGCACATAAGGTGCAAAGAAAGAAGGTGTGAACAGATGTGGTAAGAAGAGCCAAGGAAGCTGTAACAGGGGAGACAGAGCAAAGTGTACAACCAGCATCCCAAGCTGTGAGATGATGCACATCTGGGCAGGCCTGGCTGCAAGATCTGAGCTAAGTGGGGGCCCAATTCCTCCCCCACCTCTGCACCTCCCAATGACTCTAGGGCTGCCTCAGGTGCAGGCAATCCCAACCTTTTCCTGTGACTCCTCACAGGACAATCTCCCTTCAGCCCAGAGCAGGCTGAAGACTTGGATCAGTGACGGTGCTGTGAGAGTTTGGGACAGTGACCCAGGAGGCTGGGAGAGAGGGAGGGCAGATCCTGGCACTCACCAGACACAGAGCAGGCTTCCACCTGGGACACAATGCCGGTGTCATTCTCCTTGTCTGCGGGCCACCGGTAGATGTAGAGGGACGTGTGTGTGGAGCCAGCATCAAACACCAGACCGTACTGGGGGGACAGGGGACACGGGGTCACAGCTGGCTGGGGCTGCTCGGGGCTGCACCAAGTGTCACTTCTGAGAGCTTCTCTCCTGCTTCCCCTGTACAACTGTGAGCAGCAGAGGTCTGCACATCACCCTCCCTTCAGCAGCCCTGCTCCACCTCTAACAGCCCCGGGTTCGCCACTCCAGCGAGTCACAGCTCAGGAAGGACGCGGAGGTCAGCAGGGTGAGTGACAGAGCAGGGAGGCATCGGGGCATGGCCCAGAGGGCTCAGGCTGCTCCCAGGCCTTTAGCAAATCTCACAAAACCTGACATTTTTTAGCAGAACAGCAGCAGAAAGTAGTAGGGAAGAGAGGTGTGAACCCAAGAGGTGACCTGGATGTCTGAAAACAGGGAAGAGAGTGACTGTGGTGGCAGATGGAGCAGCTGTGGAGAAGAGGCTGCACTTCTCTCTCCCCTCCTTACCAAGCAGCCAGGACTGTGGTTTGGGGGAGGCTGATCTGCCCAGTGCCACCTTGATGAGGTTAAGTCCTGAAAAGCTAGGCTGGTTATGGGGAAACTCGCAAGCTGAGAGGAAGGCAGGTCTGATGGAAGAATTCCAGGCTGAAAGGGGCTGGTGGCATTCCCAGGCTCCCCCAGGTCTCACTGGACACCTACTTTGATTCTGGTAGGAAGGACAGCATCCTTGGCCGGGACCAGGACTAGGACGAAGACGACCACCGTCAGCAGTCCCAGCACGGCCGCCGAGCACCAGCCCACCGCCCGGAGCAGGCGCGGAGACATCTATGGGCTCTGGGGAGGCCTGTAGGAAGGGATGGATTGGGGAGGGGTCACTGGGGAGGGATGGTCTTTGGGAGGTTTGCACGGAGGCGTGGTCTCTAGGAGGAGGGTCTGCAGAGAGGGACTGTGGGCAGGGGCGGCTTTTGGGCGGAGGGTGTGTGCGGAGGGAGGGTCTTTAGGAGGAGAGTTTGGGGGAAGGGATGGTCTTTGGGAGGCGGGTCTGTGAGGCGGGATGGTGTTTGGGAGGAGGATGTGCAAGAGGGATAGTCTTTGGGAGGATCTACGGGACGGGGATCTTTGGGAATGTCTGCGAAGAGGAAGGGACTTTGCCAGAGGAGCCCCAAGCCGCCTGCCTCTGCCCGGAGCCTCCAGCGCCTCCGGGGGCCCCCTTCTCCCTGTAGCTCGTGGTCCTCCCCACCCCCAAGTGACCCCTGGGACACGAGCTGGGCCAGGGGGGAGACTATGAACTTGTCGGGCCCCGAACGCCGGGAAGGGGCAGGGGCGAAGCTCCCGCCTGCCGCGGTCCGACCGTCCCGTACCTGTGCCCGGAGCCCTCTCCGTCCCTCCGTGGGGCGGCGATCGGGCCACAGCCCGTTCGTTCCCCGCCGGCCCCGGGCCCACGCCGCCCCGGCAGAGCAGATCGAAGCGAAAGCGAAGCTGAGCCGCTCTCGGACGTCCGGGTCCGGCCCCGGCCGGGGCGGGCTCTGGGCGCTGCCGCGGGCGGAAAGAGCGGGGAGCTCGGGGCTGCCGCTGCCCTCACCGGACACCCGGCCCCGGCCTGCCTGCTCCCTGCCTGCTCCCTCCCTGGCTGTACCCTGCCTCTCCCTTCCTGCTCCCTCCCTGGCTGTACCCTGGCTGCTCCCTGCCTGGCCGTACCCTGCCTGTCCCCCTGCCTGCTCCCTCCCTGCTTGTCCCCTCCCTGTACCCTGCCTGCTCCCTCCCTGTTCTCTGCCTCTCCCCTGCCTGCACCACGTTCCCGCACTCTGCCTGCTCCCTGCCTGCGCCTCTGCCCTATCTGCCGGTACGTCTGCCTGCATCTCTGCCCGTACCCTGCCCGCTCCCTGCCCGCACTCTGGGAGTGCGGGACTCTGGCCATGGACAGGTGCTGGCCACGGGGACAGACAGGACCCTGGCAATGGGGGTGGCTCCCTAACCGTGGGGACAGTTCGGTGCCTGCCTGTGGGGATGGATCCCACGTGGATGGCTGTGGGGACAGCTCTTCACCTGCCAGGTCCTTCCTGTTTCTGTCCCGAGCACCGCTGCCAGCCTGGCTCGGCCTGCAGCAGGACAGTGGGGGTCCCGCAGAGCCGGGTGACAGCAGGGTGACAGGGAAGGAAGGCTCGGCCCCTCACGGCGTTTGTGCCACAGGTCTGGCAGGGGTATCTGAGGCTCCCGGAGCTCAGCTGCTGCCTCCGGCGCCAGGTGCTGGCAGGCTCCGGGGGAAGGGGCTGCCTGGGATCTATCGGTGCCCTCGCTGATCTTCGCGGGCAGCGCAGCACCCCCGCTCCCGGGCTGAGCGCGCCAGGCTGTGCCGCTCCTTCAGCAGCGAAGCGGTTAATCCCGGATGCTCTTTCCACCCCGGCTCTCCAGCCCCAGCCCCGCTGCCTCCCGGACAAGCGCTCTCCTGGGCAGGTTGCTGGTCCGGGGCCAAGGGGAGGGCCACGGCGGCGAGGCAGCCTTTGTCCCAGGAGCGGGCTCCCAGCTCCAGGTACGCGCTGAGTCCGGGGCGAGCGCGGCGCAGCCGGAGCGGCGGCCGGAGCCAACGGGTGAGCCGCGGCAGGCGCGGGGGGAGCGGGCCCGGGGCTGCTGCCCCTCCATGCAGCTGGGCTGGGAGCGGGCCCTGGGCTGCAGCGGGGGCGGTGCTGGGGGGAACACGCTCCGTGAGCCGGTGGGGGAGGACGAGAGGGCCGGGGCGGCCACTCGCCGCACGAGGTTCCCAGGTGCGGGGGGCAGAGGGGCACGGAGGGCACAGGGACCAGGCGTGGAGGGCACTGCCAAGCCCCAGCGCTGGTGGGAGGTGGGATGCAGGGAACTGCTCTGCCTGGCAAGGATGCTCCTGGCATCCACAGTCACCCTCTCAGAACCTTCAGAGCTCTTTTGGCTTTCAAATCCCAGATATGCCTGGTGGGAATTCAGGCCCCCATTGTCCTGAGCAACAGGCAATTTAGATCCAGCAGTGGCTCTGAGCCTTTGCCCCACTTTTTGAGGCTCTGCTCCCTTTGCACAAGGGATGCTGCAAGTGAGGGATGTCCCACAGGTGTTTGTCAAGCCCTTTGTCATGGCCAGCCCTACACAAACAACTGCAGCCCTGCTCCAGCTGCTGGGCACAGCTGGAAAATTTCCACACCTGGAAATGGGCAGGCACCGTGCAGCGTCGTGCCTCCTCTGCAGCTCTGGAGGCATCAGCACCACTCCTGTCCTGCTGCTCCTGATCCTACATGGATGGTAGCAGGTACTGGAGCTAGCCAGCCCCAGGATGCCACAGAAAGCCTGGTCAGATAGATCAGCTTCTCACCTTGTTTCCCACCCTCTGAACTCCCTTTCTGTGCCCTGTTCTCCTGCCTGGGAGAGCTGGCTCTGTGCTGCCTTTGGGTGTTGCCCCCTGTCCAGTCAAAACAGGAATTAGTCCCTAGCAGAGCAGGAGGAGCCCATTTCCCACCCTCTCCTGCATGCAGCACAGTGCAATTTCTCACCAATTCGTGTCCTTCCATTTCACAGTGCCTGGGACAGAATTTTCCAGGATGTAGGCTGGGCTGCAGACTTTTCCCATTGCTTTGTTTGTTACCTGGAGCAGATGAATCACATCCCAACGGCACAGTTATAACTGGGCAAACCCCAGCAGGGCTGGTAGGACTGCAGATATGACAACTGGGGACATAATTAAGTGGTTATCTTGGTGGTACTGGGTTAATGATTTGAGTCTGAGATCACTTTGAATCGATAACCACTTTAATATCTCAAAGAGGTCCTTAATGATTCCCTGTTTCTATGACAGGGATTTATCAGTTGATTCTATACTATTTCTTCATAGCCATTGAAGAGGGAAGGCTACTGGCTATAGGACAAGGTCTGATAAGGGATTTTGATGGCCCCATGTCCCATGACATGGACCCAAAGAACAGCTGCTGTTCATTGTTGTGCATCTCATGCTATGCAGGAGATTGGTCACCCTTGTTCATTGCCAGAGATGCTGACTCCAAAACAAAGGAATCAGCATCTCCTTTGACCTTGCCAAAGGTCTTTCCACTGACCTGGGAAAAGGGCAGGGGAATTTCTCAGGGATTTTATGCACTCACAGGAGAATTGTGTAGCCAAGTGATAGCTCCAGGTTCCACCCAAAGCACTGGTGGGGTTAAACCACACCTCTGGTGCCCAGGGCTCTCAGGCCATCCACAGTATCTAGCTGGAGTGTGAAGCGAGGTCAGCCTCAGCAGGATGCAGCAGGCATCCTGCCTGTGTGGCTCAAGGCACCAGGCAGGGCAGTGCAGGAGGAGGAGGGAGAGCTGTGCATTTCAAAAAGCACATCTGGACCAGCTGTGAGGTGCTGAGCACATGGATATCTCAGCTGCCATATGCAGAGGCTGTCACAGAGAACCAGACTCTTTGCTTTGCTGCAATTTCTTAGGAGTGTCTGGGGGCTGTTTCTGCTGGGAGCTGAGCTCTGGATGGACAAGTGGGAAGTGCTCCAGTCCCCAAGGGCAATCGCTGTGGGCATTCCAGCCTGGCTGTGTGCCCAGATAAGCAGGAGCTTCCTGCCTCTGCCTTTCTGCCTGCCCTTGGGGCTGCAGGAGGGTGTGGGTATCACAGCAGGCATGGACACTGCCCCTCTGCATCTCTTACATGCTGTGGCATCAGCAACAGCTGGGTCAGGCAGGAGACACAGCTGGAGATGCTGTTTCCCTGCCTGGGGCAGAGAGGACCCTCTCAGGGACAATCTGGGCCTGCTGGGCAACAGATGTGACCTGGTCCCAAGTGCTGTGGGATGGGTTTTGAGGTGGCAACATGTGGGTACTGGAGGGATGTGGCTCTGTGCCCCGCAGCGGATGGTCACACTGATACCCTGCCAGGCCACGATCCTGCTTCCAGCTTCGAACTCCATCTAGCCGTGTCTGGGCTTCCCCCAGTGATGCTGCTGTGAAGGAAGATGCTGACTTGGCAGCCAGGGAACAGCTTGAGCAGGGCTGGGGTCCAGGCACAGAGGGACCTGAGGGGCTGTAGGTGAGAAGGCAGGGCTGAAAAAGCTGTACTGAAAATCCTCCAAGGAGGGAGTGCTCAGAATGGCAGAGTGTCCCAGCCCTGAGGCTGCCAACAACTCAACTGGGATGGGTCCAGAGGAGCTCGTGGATATTATCCTCTTCCATGCTAAGAGCAGCCATGCACCAGAGGATGGCTTCATTGTCAGGAAGGGGAAAGTCCCGTACCCATCCATGAGGTGTGAGCTGGGGGCTGGGGCTGTCCTTGCAGGTTGGAGGAGGAATGGGCTCCAAAGCCAAGGCCATTGCTGGTCTCCTGGCAGCCACCTGTGTCTGCAGCGTCATCGCCCTCATTCTGAGCGTCGTGAATGTGAAGGATGTGTTTCTGCCCCCCAGCACCAAGGTAGGGTCCTCGGGAGGAGCACAGCTCTCACTTGGCTGCTGGCTACCGTTGGGTGTTGGGTTGTGCCTGGGTTTCAGGCAGGCTGTGCTGTTTGCCACCAACATGGGGACAACACCCTGCACAGACAGGAGCGGGTCTGGATGAGTTTGGTCACTGTGCCTGGCCCCACAGCACATGCAACTTTTTCATCCCAAAGCAGTGCTAGCTCCAGGGGCTTGGGATGGATCCTTGTCCCCAACACAGCTGGTAACTGCAATGCCACTAGACTTTTTCTGTCCTGGTGACCACCAGTCTTGTTTGGCCACTCGAGGCTCCCCTGCCCACCGGGAGCTGCGATGGCTCTCCTGGAGCTTCTCTCACTCACTCTGCAGCAGGTGACGCTGGTCTCCTCCCCTGACACCCCGTGTCCCCTCTCCTCCCCAGTACGGTCTGGTGTTTGATGCTGGCTCCACACACACGTCCCTCTACATCTACCGGTGGCCTGCGGACAAGGAGAACGACACTGGCATTGTGTCCCAGGTGGAGGCCTGCTCTGTGTCCGGTGAGTGCCAGGATCTGCCCTCCCTGTCCGTGCCCAGCTCACCCGGGGCTGGCCAGCCAGGGTGCTGCCCTGTGTGGCTGTTCTCCACACCAAAGCTGATTCATGCTAGGTGTGATAAATGCTAATTTATTTATCAGGCATTTCTAAATACCCACAGAGGCGTGTATTCCTATTGCAGAAGTGCTGTCTGGCTTTGGCACAAGGACAAGTCTCTCTGGAGGAAATGCCCCCTCTAGAGCGCAGATCTGGGAGCAGATAAATGGTACATGAAGCCAGGCTGGGGCTAGCAAAGGCCACCAAGCCAGGGCAGAAGTGCCTGGGCAAGGGAAGGAGGGCTCAGAGCTCACCTTGCCCTCATGTCCCGCTCGGCAGCGGCAGCGTGGCAGTTACTGGTTAACTGCAAAGGTCTGGCGAGGACAAAGTGTAACGCAAGGGCTGCTTGGGCTAATGGCACTCATCAGTCAAAGCTCGCGGGAAGATAAAGAGTGAGATTTCCACCCCAGAGCCTGTCCCTACCGACTGCAGGACCATGCCGGGTTCTCAGATCCAGTGCCAGCCTCCGAAAATAGAGAGGCTGTGCAAGGTCACCTCAGTGTGCCTATCAGCTACATGTGCCCTTGCAGCAGGGTGCAGTGCACCCTACCCCTTCCTCAGGGAAATGGGGAACAGTTGTGTTTGTCCCCAGATCCTGCAGGACTGACTGGCCGTGCCCAGCACTTCGACCTCCCGATCAGACGCGTGCTCAGCATCCCCAGCCCGCAGCCCTCCCGCTCTGCCCGCAGCAGGAGCTCCTGCGGCTCCTGGGGCGTGTGACCATGCCACAACCGCAGCCTCCTGGCGGGACAGCTCACAGTACGCGTCAGGGCTGGACCTGGCAAGGCCGGGACTACCTGGGGCAAACAACAAAAAAGCTCAGTGGGATTCCTGGGTGGACGCATCCCCTGCTGTGCCGTCCCTCCCGGGGTGGCGCTGGGCTCTCTCCATCACCGGTTCCCTGTGGCAGGACCCGGCATCTCCAGCTACGCAGACGACCCCGCGGGGGCTGGCGCCAGCCTGAAGCCTTGCCTGGACAGGGCCATGAAGATCGTCCCGGCCGAGCAGCAGCGGGAGACCCCCACGTACCTGGGGGCCACGGCCGGCATGCGGCTGCTGAGGTACCGGCACGGCCGGGCCGGCGCCTGCCGCCCTTCCCGGCGCTCCTGCGCCGCGCCGGAGCCGGGGCTGGCACCGGGGCACACGGGCCGGGCCACAGGGCTGCTGCCCGGCCAGGCCGTGGGGATGGGCAGAGCGGCCGTGCCCGCGGTGCCACGGGGCGTCCGGGAGAGCCGCTGGCCGTGCCCGGGGGACGCGCCCGGCCCTCTGCAGCGCCAGCCTGGCAGCAGCCGCGGAGGGGCCGAGCCCCCTTTGCCAGAGCGGCGTGAACTTTCTCAGGGCTCCAGCAGAGCCTGCGGGCAGCGTTTTTAGGGAGATTCCCAAGGCCCCGGGCGAGGGCTTTGGGGGTTGCAGGAGCCACCTGCAGGCAGGGAAGTGCTGGAGAGATGTCTCGGAGCAGCTCCTTGGCAGGGCACGGCAGCCTCTCAGTGGCAGCCCGGCTGCCAGAGCTGCCAGCCAGGGCCTGCAGCACCTGAGGTGTTTGTGCCTTTGCTGGCAGGGAGGAGAACAGCAGCAAGGCCGAGCAGGTCTTGGCCGAGGTGTCCGAGGCCATTGGGGAGTACCCTGTGGATTTCCGCGGAGCTCGGATCCTGACGGGGAGCGAGGAGGGCTCCTTTGGCTGGATCACTGTCAACTACCTGCTGGAGACACTGGTCAAGGTGCAGCTGGGGAGAGGGCAGGGGAGGGGCAGAGGGGAGAACGTCCCTGTCTGAGCTACAGCCAGCTTTCCTTATTTGCAGAGGAGGGAGGCATGGAGCTTTGGGGCACTGGTCGCCCGGCCAAAGGTCCCCTGTGGTCGTGGGCTGCAGATTCCTCCCCATTAATGTGATTAACAGGGTCTTTGTGTCCAGCTCAGCCTGGCCCTGGGCTCTCGTCTGCTGACACATGGGTGGATTTTGGGCTCCCAGGGATATGGCAGCGGGATCAGCCTCCGGGAGACGGAGTTCCTTTTTCCCTGCTCCAAGTGTCTGGGTCCCAGCAGATGTGCAGCGGCCAAGAGGCGGCACCTCGGTGCTCCCTGGAAGTGTCCTGCTCCAAGTGTCTGGGTCCCAGCAGATGTGCAGCGGCCAAGAGGCGTCACATCAGTGCTCCCTGGAAGTGTTTGTGGGTTGAGGAGGATGTGGGCAGGCAGGGGTAAAACAGGGAGCCAGGAGCACGTGGAAGGTGCCCCTGGGGCCCCAAACTCCTTGCGGGAAGGGAGTGGGAGTGCCTGCAGTTCAGCCTAACCCTCGCTGCGTGTTGGGCCAGTTCTCGTTTGCAGAGAAGTGGGAACATCCCCAGGACGCCGAGGTTCTGGGAGCTCTGGACCTTGGCGGTGCCTCGACGCAGATCACCTTCCAGCCCGGGGTCCCCATAGAGGACAGGAACACGTCCGTGTTCTTCCGGCTCTACGGCACCAACTACTCCCTGTACAGCCACAGCTACCTGTGCTACGGGCAGAGCCAGGCCCTGAAGATGCTGCTGGCAGCTCTGCACCAGGTGCCACGGGGCACGGGGGCTGCTCAGCCACCTCCCAGTGCCGTGGCACATCTCCCCCTGCCATGTTGGGCGTGCCTGTGGGCAAAGAGTTGGGAATTGGCAGAGGCTTGGGTTTTATCTAGGGAAGCAAAAAATTGCCTCATTTGGGTGGAAGGTGGTGGTGGTGGTTGCCAGCCAGGGCTGCCTTCTCCCCACATCTTGACGTGCAGTGGCATTTTTTGTAATTCCCCGAGTCCAGGTGTATGTGTGGTATTTCTGCTGTCACCATTCTCTTGACCTTGCTCCATTTCTGCCCAGAGAGAGGTTTCCCAGCACAGTCCCTGCACAACTGCCCAGGGACAGAGGCAGAGCCCAGTGCTGTGGGAGCCAGGGCTGCTCAGGGAGCTCACAGGTGGGGTACATCCAGTCCTCGTGGGGTGTAGTCCTGCTTTTTGGGATGGGCTGTGGGAAGGCTCTCAGTGGCATTGCAGCCCCATTAATGGCTCCGTCTCTCTCCAGGCCAGCTCGAGTGCCCAGATCCTTCACCCCTGCTACCCGCAGGGGTACCAGGAGAACATCACCGTGGCAGAGCTCTACGACAGCCCCTGCGTGCGTGCGCCAAGCTCAGCCAGCCCTGGCCCTGTCCTCACGGTGACGGGGACAGGGGACCCAGCCGCGTGTGGCACGGCCGTCCGGAGACTCTTCAACTTCAGCTGCAGGGCGCGGGGGCCGTGCGGGTTCAATGGGGTCTATCAGCCCCCCGTGCGGGGACAGTTCTTCGTAAGCAGCCTCCGTCCCCTTGCCTGGGGCAGGGTAAAGGCAGAGACTGGGAGTCTCCTCTGCCACTGAATGTGGAACAGGGTGGGGAGAGAGGGATCCTCGGAGCTAGTTCTAGCTGCAAACCTCTTCTCTGCTCAGAGTGGCTTCTGCCTCCTGCCGTGTCCCAGCGTTCCCTGAGGGAAATGGAAAGATCTTATCTGAGGGAGCCTGTCCCAGCTAGCTCAGAGTGCCAGAGCAGCCCCAGGGTTGTGAGCCTGCTCTGAGACTTTCTGGTAGACCGTCAAGGAGGTGTCAGATGCAGAACCCTGGGAATTACTTGGGACTCTCCCTGAGCAAGGGGGGCCCCTGGGTTTTTTCTCACGTGAGGAAGGAATTGTGTTTTCCACCATGCTCCCTTGCCCCCCAGGCTTTTGCTGGGTTCTACTACACCTTCAACTTCCTGAACCTGACCCACCAGCAGTCTCTGAGTGAAGTCAACACCACAGTCCTGTCCTTCTGCAGGAGGAACTGGACAGAGGTGAGAGCCCTGTGAAGGGCAGCCAGGAGTCTTGTGCTTATCCTGTCCCAAATCTCTGCCCTTGGAACACAAGCTCTGCTGTTCCCTGGGCTAGGGAGGTTTTCTGAGCCTCTCTTACATTCCCTGTTGCACTCTGTCCCCAATGGCCTCACAGCTGGTGCAGAGCTTCCCAAATGATTTGAAGTACCTGCACACCTACTGCTCCGTGGCCTTTTACATCCTGACACTGCTGCTCGATGGCTACAAGTTCAACGAGCACACCTGGAGCAACATCCACTTTAGCAGGCAGGTAAACACGTGTGGGCAGCAGGAAAGGACGGACTTGTTCAGGAGCAGCATCTCTGGAGTCCTCTGTTCTTGCAGTTAGTTTGGCGGGGGCAGCCCGGGGAGTTCCTGGAGGGCCCCATAAGCTGTGAGTTGGCTGGCAGCAGCCGCAGGCAAGGAGACTCCACACGGCTTCTGAGGGTGCTCATTACATGGGCGTTTATTGGGGATCCCACCCCCAGGAACAGCATGGCTACTGAGGGAGAAGGGGGGAAGGGGGAGGGAGGGGGAGAGGGAGAGCCTGGGGAGAGAAGGGCCAAGAGGGCATCTGTTTTCCCTTGCACAGCTTAAGAGAGAGATTCAAAGTGAGCACAGAATAACACTTGGGCCAATGGGATTACAGATACAGGATGGTTCAGGGCAGGACCACAGGCTTGGAACAAATCGTGCATTTTGGAGGGGTGAGACAGAGCATACCATTTAACTAAAATGCAACACCACATTCTGTGCCAGAGATGTGTCCCTGTTTCATGGCTGCTCCCCAGGGATCCCAGGAGAGCTTTGCTCTCTTAGCCAACCCCAAACCTCTGACCCAGCTAATTTCCTTGCTGTGAATGTAACTGATTTTAGGGGGTTGGAGAAAAGCAGAGCAGGATTTGGCCACTTTGGTCTCTGATGTTATCAGAAAGGTGATGGTGGCCCCATGACCACTTTGAACCAGAGTATGGTCTGACCAAAATATTTCCAGGATGAGAGGAGACAGCCTCAGGTTATGCCAGGGGAAGCTTAGTTAGGTACTAGGAATGTTTTTTTTTCTTGGAAATGAAATGGTCAGGCTTTGGAACAGGCTTCCCGGGGCACTGGTGGAGTCACCATCACAGGAAGTGTTCAAACAACATGTGGATGTGGCACTTGAGGACACAGCTTAGTGATGAACTTGGTGGTGGTGCTGGGCTGACGGCTGGACTTGATGACCTGAAAGGTCTCTTCTGACCTTACTGATTCTACAGCCAAATTAGATGGACTACAGGGATGAAGGAAAGCCCAGATCCAAAATCACGTGCAGGTCACAGAGGCACACCTGGATCAGAGCAGTCATCCATGTTCAGCTGTCTCTTAGCCCTGGGGGAGAGGGGACAGGAAAGCTCTTTGTGCAACTGCTGCTGGCAAGATCAGGTTCACCACAGCCTGGTCCCCATGTGAAACAGCAGCTGAGACAGCTCACGGGAGAGGTGCCCCTCAGCCCCTCACACCAAGCTGCTGGTGCCTGGGAGAAGTGCTTTTGGATGATGCCCTGTGCTGTCTCCCCCCAGGCAGCAAACACAGACATCGGGTGGACACTGGGCTTCATGCTGAACTTGACCAACATGATCCCTACTGAGGCTCTGCAGCATGTCAAGGGCCACCAGCCCGGCCTGTGGGCAGGGGCCGTCTCCTTCCTTGTACTGGCCATCGTGGCAGGCCTGGTGGCTGTTTTCCTACACTATTTCTGGAAAACAAAGTAGCTCCCAGCCTCCTGACTAGAGGCATGCTAGGCATCTTGCCTACTAAACCAGGCAGAGAAGAGGTGGAAAATGGAGAAGAATGAAGGCATTAGACCACCTCCATCGCTCAGGAGATCTGACTGGGTCATCTCTGTGAATGTAGAAGATGACTTGATCTCTCTCCAAGAGGAAGACTCCTTTAATCTGACTGCCAAAATCTCACTGAGACTTGCTGGCGGGATGAAGCCAAAAAAATCAAACTAGAAATAAAATCGGTTTTGTTTTTCAAATACGAATGTCACTGCTCAGCCTAGCAGTTTCCTTGGCATTCCCAGTCCTGCTGGGCTACTCTTCCAACAGTCCTGGGAGGCAACTGGCAATGGAGAGCAGTGCTGGACACCTAACTCTTGATTAGAGGACTGACATCATCTGTGTCCTGCCCTGTGCAAGATGTGCAATATTTTTGTGGTATGTGACAGAATCTCTTCCCAAAGACACTGTCAGCTGTTGTTAAAAATACTTACTGGCATATCTCAGCAGAAAAACACAAGTGGAAGTTGATTTAAGAGTTGCCAACTCTGGCTCAGGGTTTATTTTATATTCAAGTTACATAGCCAAGTTTTGTCAAGACACCAAATCCAGAACAGGTTTCAGCTCCAGGCACTTGAGTGTTTTATTTAGATCAGCCCAGCCCAGTTGCAGGAATTGGACAGGGCTTTCAGCCTTTGCAACACCAGCCCAGCACTGCACTTCCCAGCCAGCCCTTTCTCCAGGGCTCTCCCACAACCCAGAGCTGCTCTGAGCAGTGGGGATTTCCACAACTGCCTATTCTCTGTTCTCCAAGATCCCACCTTGGCCTTAGGGCTTAAGAAAAGTGCCCAAGGCACCTGGGGAAGGAATGGTCAGGTCCATAGCTATTTGCTATGGAAAACAGTGGTCCTAACTCATGGTGTTATCCCATTAATCCCACTGCAAACTGGTTCCAAAAGCCTTTTGAAAAAGCAGCATCTCTGTCTGGTGGAGGTAAGGTTATGTGACCTGAGAGCCTGAGGAACAGGGCTCAGACCCCTGCTCCCAGCCAGCCACCCTTGGCTTTGGGAGTGAGGCTCAGCCTTCCCAGCCTCAACAAGAGCTACAAGGGAGAGGGGATGAGGACTTCCAGCCAGGGGAACCTCTTCTTACCCAGCAGCCTGAGCTGCTACATGGACAATTCCCACAGCCAAACCCCAGAGCCCTCTCACTGCTCTCTGCTCTTCACAGACACATCTTCAGCAGTGCCAGCACGAGGTAAAAATGCCAGGTCAGGGAACAGGCTGTGGGAAATGCCATCACTGCTGGAACTGATCCCATGAATCTGAGTGGGCAATATCCCCTGTCCAGGTACAGCAGAGCTCCTGGCTGTGCTGGCTGGGGCCCAAATGAGCTGGTGTGAGTGTCTCCCACGCCTGGGGGTGCAGTCAGGCAGGAAAAGGCTCCTGTTTGCTATAGGAAGGCAGCACCACAGCTGGTCTGGCTGGCAAAGCATTTGGGGAAGATGCCAGTCTTGCCATTGCATTGTCCTTCCAGCCAGTCCTCGTTCACTGGAAAAAAAAAAGGAGCAGGAATGAGCCCTGGCCCATATGAATGGGGTTAGTGAGAGTATTCGTGGCTGGAATTTAACTCTGGGAAAAACCCAGTGCAACCCTGTAACTCCTGAGAGTATGAACCTGAGACAGCACTGGTGAGGCCACATTTTCCCCAAAGCCTCCTCACAGCAGACTCCAAAAGCCTGGCCCAGCAGCAGGACTGGAGAGCTACCTTCAGAGAGGATATCCAGCACATCTCCCTTGCTGAACTCCAGGTCCCCTGGTCCCTGTGCCAGGTAAGAGTGCTGAGCCAGCATCTGGTAGAGAACAGGTCTGCCTGAGTGGGAGTCTGAGTCCTGCAGGGAAAAGCCAGCATAGAGGTTGCAAAGCAAAGCAGAGACTGGAGCCCAGCAGAGACCTTGTCCCAGTCCACGTACCTGACAACAGAGTGTCAGCTTGCCCTCAGTCAGCTGCTGCCACACCTTCCCCAGGTCCTCCTGTCCCAACACAGTCCCCAGCTCTGTGCCATCCAGGAGCCTGTAGCTGCAAGTGTTCATTAATGCTGAGCAAATCATCTCCTTTAAAGCCAAACTTGGAAGCCAGCCCAGCTCTCTGCCACCCTCAGTCTTTACATTCCCCTTTGCAGGCCAGTTCTGAGCTTGTCCCGTTGCACAGTGACATGGGGCCACCCCACATGCTCAGCGGGTAGAAATGGCATTGTGGGGAGTGACACTGTCACCTCCTCCCACACAAACTCGAGGGAAAGACTCTAAACTCTGCTGATGCCACTGTGTGTCCCAGGGGTGTCACAATCAGGGAGACTTCACTCCAGGATCTTCTGCCTGAGTCCCAGTTTGGTCTGCATTGATCCTTCTTACTGCAAAGGCTGAGCTGAGTGGGACAAAATCCAACCTGCGGCAGCTGTATCTATACAGAGTTTTTCCTTCTCTTCTCCCTTGACCGTGGTACAGTTTCCTAGGAAAGATCCTTTAGGCTTCCAAGGCCCATAGAATCACAGAGTTGTAGAACAGTTTTGCTTGGAAGGGCCGTAAAGATAATTTAGTTTCAACCCCCTGCCATGGGCAGAGAATCTTTCACTACACCAGATTGCTCCAAGCTCCATCCAATCTGGCCTTGAGCAGTTCCAGGGATGAGGAATCCACAATCTCTGTGGGCAAGCTGTGCCAGGGCCTCAGCACTCTTATATTAAAGAATTTCTTCCTAATATCCCATCCAACCCTGCCCTCTGTCAGTTCGAAGCCATTCCCCCTTGTCCTGTCACTCCATGCCTTTGTAATAAGTCCCTCTGCAGCCCTCCCTGAGCCCTTGATGTACTGGGAGGGGATTGTGAGAAGAACAGCAGGTGCTTTCCCATGGGGATCACGCTGTTGTCCCACCCAAAGCCCATGGTGAGGTTTGCCCACTAGGCAGACTGTGTGCTCACACCTTTGCTGGTTTTGGCCCCAGATGAATGTTCCCAGGAGCCCAGAGGCAGCAGGACGCCCGTGTCCCGAGGGGAATGGCTGCTCAGCCCCATACCTGAGCGTGCCCCGCTGTGCCTGCTGAGCCAGCCTCTCCCGCAGCAGGGCCCGCAGGGCCGGCAGGGCCGGGGCCTCGCCCGCCTGCAGCACCAGCGAGCACTCGCAGCGCAGCCGCAGCACCGCCGGCCTGTCTGTGCCCGCGGAGGCCTCCCCGCACCTCGGGGGCACCTGTGGGGAGATGGGCTCCATCAGAGTGGAGAATCAGAGTATCCTGAGCTGCAAGGGACCCACCAGCATCTTCGAGTGCAGCTCCTGTCTCTGCCCAGACCCCCCAACAACCTCACCCTGGGCATCCCTGGCAGCGCTGTCCAAAGGCTCCTGGAGCTCTGGCAGCCTCGGGGCCGTGCCCATTCCCTGGGGAGCCTGGGCAGTGCCAGCACCCTCTGGGGGAAGAACCTTGCCCTGACTATGAAGTTCACAGTCTAAGAAGAGCCACAACTGACTAACAGACCCAACTGACAATATCTACTCTCATACCAAGAGAGGTGACACAGCACAATCCCTCATCTCTGTGCTGCCATGTCGCAGTAGAACATCATCAAAATGCAGACCTGAATTTCAAAGGGGGAACTCTGGATTCAAAGCCTGGGATCAATTGTTCCTCCTGTGACTCAGGAATTCTGGTTTTGGTTCTGATTTTACAGGTACCTCCTAAACCCAAAATTATATGAGCAAGGCCCCAATTCCTCCAGCCAGCTGGAGAGGAGCAGCCACATTCCTCTGTTGTGTTGCCTTCTGGCTGAACTACACCTGAAAAATATACCCCCAAAGTCCTAAAAACAGGTGTGGCAGAGCTGACCTACAGCTGAGGGACAGAGGTGGTGTCCCCAGAGGGTCACAGGAGTCATTCCAGGACCATCACATGCAGGGGCTGGCAATGGCATGGGAGTACCTCAGAGGACATTACCCAACAGGGCAAATTTAAATTAACTGTGCTATCCAGACTGATAAGGACAGAAAATGGGACACAGGAAGAGGGAGAAAGGGACAGCAGGGTGTTCAAAGACAACTGTCTCTCGCAAAGTTGGCTGTAAAGCAAGTGCACAAGAACTCTGATGTGTTTGGTGCTCCTGGTGCCTCGGAGGGTGGCAACAGGTCAACCTTAGGCTGTCTCACAAGATGGGATGGTCACAAACTGGGAGGAAAGACCACATGGGAGCCTCCCTTTAGAATGGAAAAGTGGTCAGAAGAAGGAGGTTTTTTCCCAGTGATTTGGGAGCAGCTCAGGAATTCCGGGCAAGAATCTTGCACTCTTCCCAGCCCTGGTCTCCTGAGGCTGTGCCAGCTTCAGCATGTGGAACACCTCACCTTGGAGTCCATGTGGGCACTGGCATCATTGACAGAGGCATTTTCTTCCCCAGGAGGATCTGCAGAACAGTACAAAGGCAGGGGAATAGCCCTGCAGTCAGCAGTGGCTGCAGTGGGGCCACCACCTCCTCCTGCCCTCTGAAGAGTGGGGTTTGGGCACAGCTTCACCCACTGAGGGCGCAGGGATTACCTGGCTTCTGTTTCATGGGGAGGCGGCTGGGAGGCACCTGGGCAGGAGGAAGGGGAATCCCAGTGCTGATCTTCTGCAACAGAACAGCATCAGAAAGGAGAGGGCAGAAAATGGGAGCCTGGACAAGGCTGGTGTGTGACAGGCTGCAGCCAGCTACAGACTTGTGGGTGTAACCCCAGGGAGAGCCCCAGGGAGTGCTGCTCATTGAATGGTTGGATGAGGTGGAGCAATCAGGCTCTTGAGGGCAGAGGTTTGGGGACACTTCCCTGGCACCCTGCTCCCTGCTGGGTTGGTGCTGAACCAGGAGGAGGCTGCTCACACTGTGCTGAGGGCTCTCCCCCACTTGGGCTGGTTGACAATGAACATCCATGGAGCAAACGCCCAAGTGTATACCAGGGATTCATTTGGAGGGGGGAAAATGACAACTAAAAAAATCATAGCAACATCAGAACAACCATGTACTTGAAAACTCCTTCACAGGAAATGGGGCTGAACTGGGCCCTTCCACACTGGGTTCAGATGGAAAATGATTGGGATAATGTGTGGCTATGCCTGTGGTGGAGATGAGAGATGAAGTTCTCCCAAGTCAAAGGGATTTTTCCTACTCCTAACTCTTCTGTTGTTACCATTCAAGAGCACTTGGTCTTCAATCAATAGACTCAGTGTTTCATACTCTACGTTTCTCTTACAGAGTTGTCCTATCCTGTGATAATCTTACAGATAAATGTCCCAAATGTATGTCTTGGTCCCTCCCTCCTCCTGGTTGCAAAGTTGCCAGCTCACCCATTTATCCATCCTTGAGGCAGGCTCCAGGAGAGAGCTCGGGATGTGCAGCTTCTGCGGAGGGACACGGAGCAGAGCAGGGTGAGAGAGGAGCCCAGCGACC